TGGCAAACTCAAAGGATTCAGAAGTGCAGCTGGAATACATATGGGAGATTTTGGAGAAAGTTGATCATTTGAATTTGTAACTCCATTGTGTGCTGGAAGAACTTCCTGCAGATGAGGCGCAGCCCGTCAGTGACTCAGGGAGACTCTCTGTCTGCTAACAGGCATGAATTTATTCTCTGAACCAGCTACCAGAAGTGACATGTTTTATGTTAGTGTTACATATGCAACAAGAATCTTAAAATAAAGCCAGTGGGGATATAAATTCTTTTTTGCTTTCTAAAATCTCTATAGTACAGCATCTCAAGTGAAAAAAAACCAAAACAAAACAAAACAAACAAACAAACAAACCACCCACCAATATTTTGATGAACTTAAGATTTCACATTTGGATCAAAGTGTTTCATTCATCATATTTTTTATGCAGAAACCATTTTTAAATCAAAAGCCAAATACATATGTACATTATGTTCAGCATTTGAAAAAGAACTGGTATTTAAAGAATATTGTTGAGCTGGGTTCATCCCATTAGACAATCAGTTACCCATTCACTTGGTTAATACTCAGCTACAACCCTTTACTACACAGCCTAAGTTACTCAAGCATCTTCTCTGAGTTACCTTTACTCCTTTATGAATATGTTAAAGCTCCTGGTTCATATAAAAATTATCTTTCTGGTCGTTTGAAGTTAGCATGCAGCAGATGGAACAGAGGGGGGAAAGAAAAAACACTATAGAGAAAGCACACTGTCTCCTCATCACCAACCTCACTCCTGGAATTCAGGATTGCAGTTACCTGTAAACTGGAGCTACTAAAAGCTATCAGAGAGGTGTACTCGGAGCTGAAAATTTGAGAAGATGACAAAATGGGGCCATAAAAAGCACAAATGTAAATTAATAATCAAATATACACACACAACAAGGAGACAGATGGCAAGTAATTTTCCCCAGTGCACTTACACTTGTTCTTCTAGTGCATGTATTTGGGTCACTTGCTAGATTAAATCTCGTGTGGCAGACCCAACAGAGGTACTGTCAAATGTGTATGGGCTCGGCCTGTTTTAAAATGATGCAAGTCTGACACTACAGGGTAAAAACATTTAACAGGATTTTTTCAAGGCAGTCTGGATTATTGTGCAGCAACTTTGAAACGGGGCTGCTGGATATTTTCTATCATCAGCAAGGCTGCCCCATTCAGGCCTGCTAAATAAAATGCAGTGTAAGCTAGAGAAAGTTGCTCTGTGATACCAAATTTCATGGAAGAGCCCTACACAGACAAATATGTATACATTTTCTGGAACACCGATTTTGACAATGTGTCACTGAGACAATACATCACTCAAGGTTAAAGTTTCCTATCATACTCTCCCTAAATCATGCCTTTCTTTTGAGATTTAGAAGAAAGGACCACCTCAATAGATGAGTTGCTTTTGCCATGTTCACTGTAACAATGCATGACCTCAGACACACAGAGCACTGAGTCTCCCCCACCCCAGCTATAAACTGACAGTCACCTGTTTTAGTCAGGTGAAGGACGACAGCTTCAGTGTAAGGCACCTGCAAGGCAAATTACCAGGTGGGCTGGTGGGGCTTAAATGGCAGGCAAAAATAGTCATGCCGATGTGTAAGCCTAATTGCAGCAACGGTCCCCCTCCTGTATTCCTGGTAGATACTTGCATGAAACACAAACTGTGTGTGCAGAGATTAGCCCCCCTTAATCTGGCAAGAAGCTGGATTTAACACGGTGCAACAGGCAAGATCTTCAACACATCTGCAGTAATGGAAATTGCATTTCGCTCTACCCTGTTACCAGTTTCAAGATGATTTTGTTTAACAATAAATAAACCTTTATTAACAAGCAATGTGAGCTACTGTGGGATTAAATATTTCCACCTCTTTCTTCATTCACCTCTTGTTTTGGGTTACTACATGCCACATTCAGCTTCAAATAAATAAGTAAAAAAAGGGGGAAATACATCTGTTTGCTCCTAGCTGAACAAGGAGGTTTTGAGCTGGGGAGGTGAAACTACCAGTAACAATCTACACATGTAAATAAGAAATATCACAGCTGTCTGTAAGAATTACAGTGGCAGGGACAAGGGTGGCAAAAGCCTGTGTTTTCTAGGTCTACATCTACAGAACAAAAGAAAAAAAACAAACAAAAAACCCCCAAAACACTGGTTCTTGTGTTTAGAAACTGACTAGAAACTGACAAGTGGCACTTTCAAAGTAGTCAATAAGTCAATTGCTCAAAAATATTGGGATTGCACTGATTACGTGCTATATATCTGCTTAGCCTGAAAGAAACGAGTTAGGCAGAGTAATGACAAAAAATAAGAACATGTGCATTTGCTCTCTTAACTTCCTCAGGCTTAAAATTCATGCTATTTCAGTTTAAGTGGGTAAAGGGTGGAAAACAAAATGCTGAATCCTTTGATACATAGTCAAAGCCCAGACTACAAGCAAGTCTTTTATATCACTGTCCATACAGTCTTTGGTTTGGTGCCGTGCTGCTGCTAAAATATTACATCTTACCATTGGAAAATTGATTTTGCTATAAGAAGTTTTATGATGCCACTTAATCTTGCCCAACCCACATAAAAAATACAGAAAGCAATTACAGACACCCTTTATGCAGTAAGTTTGATCACTGTATTAAAAAGAGAGCAGTGTGGTGTAATTTCAATATAATAGCAAAGGAAATAGAAAAAAAACTTTGGCAATATGCTGCCCTCCTGAAACAAGACATTGCTGGTTCCCATCTTAAATGCACAATCTTGGTTCAGCTCAAGTTAGTAGCATGATCCATCTCCCACATGGAGCACTGTGTCCTGCAGCTCCAGCATCGACCTCCTTTTCTACTGTTACATTTCAAGCCAGCTCCTGCAGGGCAGCAAGATTCTGTGATTACAGTTAAAAGAATACTTTGGGTCTGAGAGCCTGCCTCTTTGAATAGATAACCCTTTCTTGTTCCACAATTACTAGCATGAAGCAGCCCTTTCTGCCTTGTCCCTTCCAGTGCTGCAATTGAAAAACATCATAATTAGATGACCCTACATACAGATATGCCATTAACTGGCTTTCAGAGCACTCTACTCAATGCCTAAATCTTAGCTACAATGACGAGAAATACTTTATTTAGTTAGGAGGTAAACAAATGAACAAAGCAGTCTTTTAGAACACCTTTTAAAAAGTGTAGGAATAATACTAGCAAAATGTGTGTGATTATCTTTTCCACGCTTTCAGAGATGACACTCAAATACCACTTTTTTCTAACTGCATTAAAGCACACTCAGGCAAGATCAAGAGTAACCTTGACCTCCACATCAACAGCATCAGAAAGTACTTCATACTGCTTTCCATGCCTAGTCCATTTAAACTGGCCTGCAGGACAGCTTTCAAGCTAGTGCTGAAAAAACCCAGATTTTCCCAAACATTGCAATATATGCTATGTAGGGTTATGTAAATATTCCACAACTCCTGCAGTTCTTAACTATAATAAGCGGGTTTAAAATAGCGTCACTGTATCAAAATATTCACTACTTCCTATTGGTCCAACTCAGACCTCACATTCAGGGCAACAGCAGACTTTTATCTTTTACTGTTTATGAATCAAGCTTCAAAACTTCACAATGGGTTTAAGAAAAATCGCTGTAGAAAACTTGAAGACTCACGGAAACCTAAAACCATTTAATTGCTTGCAAGGCTTCAAGTACATGTAAATGACCCGGAGGGCTGAAGCCTGAATTGCCACATTCTGCAGCCAACTCTGTTCCCAGCCAGAGACCTATACCAGGACTAACACTTGGCATTTGCTTCCAGTATAATAGGTTTAATAGTAGCAAGCCTTGAAAACAGGGGGGAGAATTCTGGAAGCGGTGACAGATCTTAAACACGGCAGGTGCACTGTAATACCGCTTAAGGGAGGAAAATTCCGAGTTTAGTAACTAATTACTGCAGGACAGGCAGGTTATTTTCCAAGGCAATGCCTAATCACAGGCACATCTGACCCTTTCGCATCCCATCAGCGCGCCGGGAAGCTCAACTCATCCAGCAAACATCTTCCTGATCAGGCACATCCCTCATCCCACCTCGTCGTGTTTCCTCGCGTTTCCTCCTCTCACACCAACAGGCTCCGAGGCACCAACCCTGCCCGACGGCTGCCCAGGGAGCTCGCTGGCACCGTGAACCTGAGGCTGTGAGACCCTCCGCTCATGCACCCACCGGGGCACTCCTCGCTCCCTCCGTCCCGCACGGGCTCCCGCAGGATTCCAGCCGCGCTGCCGGGACGGGACGGGGCCGGGACAGCCCCGACCCACCGCCCCGGGGCAGACGGCCGCTGGCCACAGAGGAGAGAGCCTGATGAAACGCTGTCAAGTCAATCCCGCCTCACTTTTTGGATGGTTTAATTCCAATGGAGCATGAATCACCCCAGGACTGTTAATAAGTTTAGCCAGGCGTGCTGTTCTCCCTAATAATACATTATAATTATGCATCTGTTTTAAATGCGATCAGATTAAGTCACCGGAAAAGGCACAAATTGGAATTTCCCCCGACTAAGAACAGCGCCTTTCCGCAGCTCCGGCGGGCAGGTACGGCCAGGAGAGGAGCAGGTGGGCAGCCCAAGCCAGCCCAGCGCCGCTCCGCTCCCCGCGGCTGCCCAGCGCAGCCCGGCAGCGGACGGCAACTTCCCATGGGCGCCCGGTCCCTGCGGAGCGGGGGAACGGGACGGGAGGCGGCCGGCCACCCGCGGACACAGCGCATGGGGGATCAGCCCAGAACATGCCAACTTGGAACGGCGGGTCCCCTCCCGCTACGTGGGGTCACAGAGAACCGAGTGTGAGCTGTCAAAGCCCCGGGAGCGGAGGGTGCCACCGCGACCACCCGGAGCCCCGGAGCCACCGGGACCCTCCGGCGCCGCCCCAGGCACCAGCAGGAGGGCGGCCGAAGCTCCGCTCCCGACAGGTGAGCAGCCCCCGCCCGCCACGCCGCTCCCCGCCCTACCTGTCATCGTAGCAGAAGTCGGCGCTCAGGGTGTTGAGGTACAGGGCGAGCCCCAGGGCGCTGCTCAACAACTCCGCGATCATCTCTCCGCCTGCCGCCGTCGCCGCCGCTCTTGCACCGGGACAGCCCCCTGCCCTGCCCGGCCTCCCGCGCCAGCCCCGCCGCGCCTGCCCCTCGCGCCCCCCGGCACCGCGGGGCTCCGCTCCGCGCTCCGCCGGCGGCCACAGCCTGACGGCGTCCCCCCGCTCCGCCGCCCCTACCCCATGGCAGCGGGGCTATCGGCGGCGAGAACGCAGCTGGCTGAGCGGAGCGGGACTGAGCGGAGCGGGGCGCGGCTCCGGCTCCCGCCTTCCTCCCGCGGCGCCCCGGCGCTGCCGCAGCTCCGCTCCCGGCCCGCGCCCCCCTCGCTGCCGAGCCGGGCGCCGCCGCCGAGGCTCTGGGAGCGCCCGCGTGGGGCGCCCCGGGCTCCCAGCGCGCCTGCGTGCGGGCCCGCCCCGCTCCGCCCCTCCGCGCCCCGCCCCGCCCCGCCCCGCGCGCCGGCGGCCGAGCCGGCCCCGCTCCGCTCCCGGCCCCGCTCCGCTCCGCTCCGGCACCGGCGGCACGGGCTGGGCCCTGCGATGGGCACTCTGCCAGCTGGGCGCAATCAGGGATTCTTTTCTTTCCCCTTTTTCTCCTTTTCCCATTTTCCTTTTCCATTCTGTTTTCTCTTTGACTTCTTTTTTCCTTTCTTTTTCTTTTTTTCGCTGTTCCTCTTTTCTCTTCTTCCTTTCCTGTCTTTATTTTCTTTGCTTTCCTGTTTCCCTTTTCTCCCTTTTTTTTATTTTTACTCAGCCCTGCTGAATAGGTCAGATTAGTAGGAAAGAGAAGGGCTATACCTATATTTGGGATGGGATGCCAGAGTGGGGAGCTCCACACTTTCCCAATCTGCTGTTTTCATCTCTATCAGTGTGAACATCCATGGGGAGCTCTTAGCTCAGTTTACAGTTAAGCAAAATCACTGAGACTTGGCAGAGAGGGTCGGAAACAAACATACCCCAAGGCAAGGAGTGCTGCAAGCTGGTGCTCCCTCAGGACAGCCCCACAACTGCTTCCCACGAGAGGAGGGATGGGTATAGCCAGAGATGCGCACTTTGACTAGAACAGATAAATAGACTGGAAAGGAAAGCCAGCTGTGGAAAATAATGCATTGAAACCGTCTTCCAGAATTCATAGAGACATGAAGTTATGGAAAGGATTTGGGTCCATCAAGCTGATTATTTCTTTTTTATAGAGAGTTTTTAAAACGTTGCCTCCTTTCGCTGCTAGCCAGCCCTTTTATGTAACTGTTTCCTCATGATTTCCATCAAGTGGCACATCATGCTGTCCCAGAAGAATGGGAATCTGTTCATCAAGCTGTGTCTAATAAATTGGGGAGCTTTTAACAAGTTTTCTTCCTCCCCTATGTGATTATTTAATGCTGTTCTTTGCAACCTCAAAATATACAAAGTGCATTAAAGCCTCTTTTCAAGCAACGCTGAAAGTGCTTCTGGGAAGTCTGCCCCAAGTGTCACAAACATCTCAGCTGCTTCTACTTAGATTCAGGGAGTGTGTTATCACCATCAGTGGCAGTAATTGCAGACATGGGGGAAGGGTGCATTTTTTTCACAATATTAAAGCTTTGAGGGGCCTTATTGAACCCATTAGCAGATCACATTGATCTGGCATTAAAGTTTTCAGCCTGAAGCACTGAACATAGTAACTTAGATTTTAAAGAGTTGGTACTCTGTCAGAAGACCTAGGTCCTTCCTTTCAAACACCAATTCTCAATATGCTTCTGGACCTACTGCCAAGATCCCAGTCATCACGACTTAGTCCTTCTTGCTGCAGTGGAATTGCTGAATTCATGCACTAGGTTTGTACAGCTCCTTCTTTGGAACATCCTAAGAAACTCTGCATATAAAGTGGTATAATTGCTGCTGAGTCATAGTGGCAGAAGCCTCTTGTTATCCATCAAAAGCATATGCATTTTTTCTTCAGAGACATAGGACTACTGACTGGGGAGATGAGAAACAAAATAGACCCTCCAGGAAAAGAAGTTTAACAAAACCAGGCACAGTCTAATAAAAGCAAATGTCAAGAAAGGGTGGGATGAAATGTGTAGAGAGTGCCTGTTCCCTAGGACATCCCAAGTGCTCCAGGGCGACTGGAACCAGCCTGTCGAAGTAGATTTAGCTGCACTACAACAATCCACAAAGTCTGTATCTTGCAGAGACATTTCTCTGTGTAAACAAAGGACAAGTTTCCTCCCAATGGCAGGAGCTGTCTCCAGTGGAGATAACTTGCTTTGTAGAAAGATACAGATGGCAACATGTGCATTCACTGCCCCACCTGTCAGCTCTGGGACTCCATAAGCCAGACCATGCCAGGGCAGCAGCCAGAAAGAGCCGGTGCAGAAAGCTGGAGACAAATTGAACATAAAAATTATTGACCCTGTTAAACAACACCAAAAAAGAAAACAAGAGGGTAGAAATCAAATCATAATAAAAGAATTCCTTCTCTTCTTAGAGTTAGTTAAAAGTATTAAATGCATGTGTTTATGAACAACATTATATTTTACTATATCATTGAGAGATATCAGACAACATTCTGACTTGTAGCAGATTTACAATGTGATGTACAGGAACCACAAGGTGTCAGAAGAGCTGATTTAGAAGTTCAGATCTGTCACTAAGCGGACATTTCAAAAACAGTCTTCACCTCCAGAAAGTCACAGGCTGTGGTGCCAGGGAAGAGGGAAGAGATGTAGGGTTGTAATAACACATAATAATAATAACAGTAATTGTAAAGATAGCTGGAGATACATAGTCTAACAGCTGATCTACTGTGTAGAGAGCTTAGTAGACAAATTTGCTTTGTTTTGCTTTATTGCAAATACGACAATCAAAATTATCTGTTTTAATAACAGTTGGGAAATGTCTTCATTAAAGGCATTATGGACTCTGAGTCACTGTGTTGCAAGATATTTCACCTAAACCGTGCCTGAAAGATTAAGTTGCAGCACAGCATGTAGAAATACATGTCTGTCACAATGACAGATTTGGTTAACCGGTCACTGACTATGAGACCTTAAATGTCAGGGTAATGCATGTGGTACAGATCCCTCAACAGATTAGATTAGACACTTCAATTTCTATACACTGGGTTCATTTGCTGGAGCTTGTAAAAATTATTTGTGCCAACTTCCTTAAAGCATCGGAGAAGAGGATGGCTAACCCTTTGAAAGCTGCTGGGGTTTTGGTTAGAATGAGGTAACTGGATATTAAATGTTACTATAGGAATAATTAAGTGGTATTTAAATTATTTTTACCAATTCTTATGCTCAGATACCATCAAAGAAATGTCATAACATACCGTGCCTAATTTTGAACAATCCAAATGACACCCAAAGATGTAGCTTAATGAACCTCAGAAATGTAAACTTTGATGCATTTCAAAACATCAATGCAGTCAAGAATAAACTGGTGTTATCTAAGGAAGGAAAAAGGGATTTTACTTTATCAAAAGTGGAGAAAGAGGAGTAGAGGGGAATGCTTTAGCCAAAGTGCTGCTTTCACAATTACTCACTGATCCATAGCAGTAAAGTTGTTGGATTCTGTGGACTAGGATCCAAGCTGTTGTTTTCCTTTCATGCTAACAAGATCATGTTAATCTTCAAAGACACCAGTATTTCTGTGTTCTCTAAGAAATTGGGTTTTTTTCCTTTCTTTTTTGCTAGTGTTATGATAATAATAATATCAGCAATGGCAGCCAAAGTAAAAATAAGTTGTAACTCCAAAACTGTAAAATATAATGGAAATCTGTATGAAATAAGACAATAAAAACAGATGCAGGAAAAACAAGAACACACAGGACTTTCATCAGTATTTGGAAGAGATTTTAACTGAATACATTTCCTAAGGATGTACATTTCTGGGAGGCACCAGTTCCTACTTTAGATCAGTCAGTGGAGCTAGAGTATTGCTGCAGAGCTGGAGAGAGAGAGGGGGAGAGAAAGGGAGAGAGGGAGAGAGAAAACCAATACATTTTTAACTTGACCTAATCTAATTATGCAGACTCTCTCTACAGAGAAAAAAAGATAGTTAAAGGGAAATTTCTAGTATGCACAACACATTCAGGAGCATTTGTGTGACTCATAGGTAAGCATATCTCAGTGGCAGAGAAAAAGGTAATTTTTAATCTCTTCTGAATTTTCAAGGATTATTTTCTTAACATTACTCCATTCCAGACTAATCCTAATCTGCTTTGCATATTTATCTCCCATGTCCTCTGAGATAGCTCAAAGAGAGATCAAAAAGAGTTTTTAATCCTTCTTGTTCAGAGTAAGTTTACAGCATAAACTTACTAAATGCAGATGTGTCTATTTGTCATCTCCCAGAACATGATCTTCTTACTGGTTTTCTCATGCTTTATAAAAATAGCAATATGCTACTTCTGGTTTTTGGAGGTTTTTTTTGTTTGGTTTGGTTTGGTTGAAGTTTTTTGTAGTTCTTTTTATCAAAACAGATCAAAGAAATACAGATTCTTAAAAGATGGTTCTAGAAGTAAATTAGAATTAACCTCATTTTATATAGGCAGAAATCAAGGCAACTGGCATTTGTGTCAGTTTATCCAAATCATATGAGAACTCTACAGCAGAAGAGGAATCTATCCAAGGTTCCAGCCATGACTCCGAGTCATTCATTTGCTTTCATCATGAGATCATCCTTCCATTCACAGTAATTGATATTTCCTTAGACAAAACACAATGGAATTATCTCAGGGATTAATTTGGCCTAGGACACTAATTCTGAGAAAAGTCCTACTCGACAGATGGATGCCTGCAACATAATCAAGAGGTCTGTGGTGCATAGCCTGGATTCTGTGCAGGTGGAGGATAGGGAGTATGAGTTGTGTATCATATCCTGCCTCTCATCATTTCTTGGCAGCTGTATTGCCCAGTAGATGGAAAAGATTCATCAGCAGCTGAAAATCTGTTCCTTGTCATCTTCCTTCCCATAGAAAGAAGCGAATCATTGTGCTGCCCCTAAGTCCTCTACTTTTCAGG